GCTAGTCTCAGTCTAAAGCCTTCGAATCTTCCTGCTCAAGATGCTCCTTGGAAGTGGGTAACTTCTCCTTTTAAGATGTTACAAATGTGTATTCTATCATGATTTCAACAACTCATGTTGTGATTTGAATTAGAGTTAATATATTGTTTGGTATTAGAAGTTGATTAGAAAAATGTTGCTTGAGAATATGTGTGTTTTTTTTTTTTTTTTTTCAACTTAAATCTTCCAGTTGGATCGCTTTTGCATCCTATGTTGATGTTCAGAATGCACTGTTTTGTCATGGCTGTTGTTTTACATATTTACATATATCAAGTTAATTAAGTGCTCTCAAAAGCTTCATTGATGTTTCTTTCTTTAGGGGAGGCTTTATCCTTGATGCAGCCACACCTGGAGAATTCATTGGTGGGTTAAAGACTACCATGTAATGCCAGGAACCAAGCCAAACAAAAAAAATTAGAAACTCAAAGAGAATGAGAGGGGAAATTGGCGCTTTCCAACTAACAGGAACAAGAGATTTTCCTTGAAGACTACCAATAGATTGATAGTATTCTTATGGTCAACAAGGACAAGAATTCCAGGGCTGCTCACCTTGAGTACACCTAATAAACTAGTGAGGGGTGTGTTTCTTTTAGTCTGCAATATATATGGAATGGTTGTGTTAGCGGTTTGGATTGGATCAGTTTTTAGTATTATATCGACCAATTTAAGAATTAATCTGTTGTCAAAAATTTTATAAAAAAATACAAGCGATTGTTTAAACTATAAAAAGAAGATGTTTTCTCAAACACACTACTAAGATGTCATAAAATTTAAACCACCATTAATTTGCAAAACAAGATTCTTTTTACATTGGGTTATATCTCGTTGTCTAGGTTGCCAATTTGTGGTTGGGCTGAGTGTCATTTGTTTCCACATGTCCTGTTGAGGGCATCTTTCGCAGTGGCAAGTGTTTCCTTAATTTAGCCCCCACGTCCCAAATGATCTAGAAACGACCAATTTTTTAAATATTTTTTTATTACAAGGAATAAGCAATTTCTTTCTTTTGGGATGTGTTTCCCCCTTTTTCAGCCACTTTAGTCGCGTGATCTAAGGTGCTCAAAGCTTGCCACGACCTCACCTCACCTAATGCATGCAAATCCTATCCCTTCTGCTGCCACATGTCATTGCATAACGGGATTTAAAAGTCACCACTCCCACCTTGCATAAAAAAATCAATTGAACATCAGAACTGCTATAAGTATGCCTCCATCAACTTCTTTGGTCTAAATATCCTTCACAAAATCTCTCCCTTGAACCAATTTGAAGTACTTAATGGCAATGGAATGGTCTCCTCAAGATGCCTTGAAAGCTTACTTACACACTCTTCATCTGGTAATTTTCTATATACATTAAATATACATTGGTGGTGTGGAATTATTTTTCCAGTTTTGTAATTTTCTCCTTTATGTATCTTGCTAATTGATTCACTTAAATTAATGCAGTGTAAGGTCGACAAAGATGAAGACTTGAGCCTTGGAAATCACACAACCGCTACCAGTATTATCATAGAGCCAAAATGCATGGAATTTATATCAGCTTTGGCAGCTGGAAAGCGAGCAAGATTAATCCTGCAAATCACCTCTCAAGGCATAACGCAAGTGACAGTTTCACTGGCTGTGGCTGCAAAGCAAAGCGGAGGCCGACTAATTGTGTGGATTAACAGTCAGGATGTGGATCGTGTGGAGGAAATTAGCAAAACCCTGTTTGTGGAACATGGTCTTGACGAGGTCATTGAGTACGTTTACGGCACTGATCCTTGTATGCTGGTGAAGCAGTTGAAGAACATAGATTTTGCGGTTGTTGACTTCAAGTTAAAAGATCACTTGAAATTGTTGAAGATTATGAACTTTAACCCAAATGGGTGCATGGTTGTAGGAACCAACGTTGATGACCCTGAGACTAAGAGGGATTTTGGAGGTCCAATGATTCTTGATCGAGTTTTTAAGGAGAAGAAAGGGTTTCGTTATGTGACTCTACCTTTAGGAGAAGGAATGGAGTTGACAAGATTTAGAGCCGTTGGGAATGGTGGCAAGTGCCATTGCCAGAGCAAGAGATATAAAAGATTTCATGTAACATTTGAAAATTGAAGCTCTTGTTTGTAGTTATTATTTTTATTTTATATGTATGTACATATAGGGAAAACCTAATTTTTATGGTACTTTCAAATTCAAGATATTATATTGGCAGCCCCGCCCCCCTCCACACCCTCCCACCGCCACCGCAAACTCCTTGACAATTTCCAGCCCACCTTATTCCCCTCACCGGTGATGGATCCACTAAAGGGAGAGTGAAGATTATTGCCTCTACGCATCCTTCTTCCCACCCATGAAGTACTCAGAACCTCCATTAAAGCTCTCAGCAGTTCACGTTTACCCTATACACAGTGGATAATAAACATCTACTATTATCAACTCATAATCAATATGAATCTTACAACTATTCTCACAAGAGGTAAACACCTGCCGAGCTCAAACAGCTCCTACTGGGATGAAGTTACCGTTATTGATTTGCATAAATTGATCAAATAATTTCTAACTTTTTGTCTTCTGTTTTATACACGAACAAATCCATATCCTATTGAACGCCCAAAAGCACAAGATGAGTTCTCCAATCAAAGGGCTAAACACTAAGCTGAGCATTAAAATGGTCTGGCAGAGACAAGTTTAACTATCTCTAGAATGAACAAATCCACAGCAACCAGTAATGTAATAAAAACAGTTCCAATAAACTATTTAAAGAATAGATCCTGATAATGTAATAAAAGACAGATTCTATTGCAGGTTCATTTTCCACATATTGTGGCTACATAACTTATCATGTAAAGTTTATCAAATAAAATAAAACTACCAAGAAAAAGTTACCACATCAAATTCTTAAAACTTCTTTAGGATCATATCTTATCATCATTGTTCCAGGAAACAGTATCAATGAAGACCAAAAGATGCTAACTTATCCCAGGAAATTCATAATCACCAAGTGCAGCACCAAGTTGCAGAGAACAAAATCTGCAAAAGCCCGTTCTGGTGGTAAATCCTGCAGTTTTACACACAAACACTGCTCAGGACGAGGATGGAAGAGGATAGGTCAAGGTGGGCAAAACAACATTACCAACTTTGTCAATTCCTTAATACATGATGAAGAAAAGCCGTCGAAAACGAAAAAACTGGTTTAGAGTGCGCAAACTTGGCACAATTCAAAATTTGTGAATCAGACAGAAGGACAAGGAAGAAACAGAGTTTACCTTAAAGTCTTTGTTTTCTTTGTTCACTTGAATACGGAGACAAACTGCAAAAGAAGTAATCAGTTTCCGAGTTAACCTTCTCATGTCTAATATGAACTTTCACCCAACAAAGAAAAAAACTTCATCGTTCCCTTACCAGCGAGGACTGCTGTCCCTGTACAAGAAAGTACTCCTGAGAGAAAAGAGTTAAATGGGAATGATCCGACGAGAGCCATGTAAACTACCTGTTCATCAACAAAGTAGATAACCAAATCAAAGATTAAAGAAACCATATCAAGTTGCAAGAAAGCTAGCTTCCACCATTTATGGGTTGTTATTGTAGTAGTTAATGCATCATGGCATCATAGCATCATTAGAAATAGGTAGAAGATTATGCTGCAGTGGGAGTGGAAAAAAGAGTGGACATGGTAATCAACAATGACATAACATGGTAGCCAGACCGACCAGACCTGTTATTACAGAAAGAGAGGCTAAAGGCATTGATCCACGATATGTACCCCAACAAGGAGTCTTATATACCTTAACCTATGAAGAATGGATGCTCCAAGGTGGCCGTGTGTGTGTCAGACATGTGTAGACACCAACACTAGAACATCAAGCCTTTAAACACCTAATTATTAATATTTCTCCCTGGAGCTTCAGATCCGTTGTTATATTAAACCAAATGGAGCTTCAGAAACCTCTTAAAGGCAATTCCGTTAACAACATTTACCAAATAGATGCACGCACAATGGTGCCATGTGGAATGCAAAACTATGTACACAATCAAACCGGAAGGTATACAAACTAATGACAGAAAAGACTGAAGCTTGATAACAAACCAGATAACTATACATTTATATTTTAAAAAAAAAGATAAGATTTTACTGATCCTAGCTATTCATATTGATCTAACTAAATAATAAGGGGTTCAAATGGAAAGGCAGTTCAAATTGCAAGCCTATCCAAGACTCCAAGATGCTTTCCCTTCTCCTCCTTGGTTTTGTTTTTTACTTTTTCTTTTTAAACCACAATTAACAAAATAAATATTTTTTTTTTAAAAAGCCATTTTATTCTGTTTAAAACTTTCCCTGTGCTTTGTTCTTGTTTCCTGGGGTTTTGTTCTCCGTTAATGAAATATCATTTTCGACCAAAAAAAAAAAAAATTGAAAACCGATATGTTTGTCAATCCGAGAGACTATCAACTTACGTGATTTCAGATCAAACCAAAAGGAGATAAAATAAAGATCCATTTACTTAAGATTAAATCAAAATGGGGCATTTCAATTTTGCACCTTTGACAATTACCCAAAGTTTCTAGGCACCCAAATATAGCAAATTAGTATATATATAAACGGAGACAGGAAAATTGAGATCATGGAATACCTGGATGAGAGCTGTGAACACAGCAAAACCAACATAGAGATCAATGATCTGCAAATTTATAAAAGAAATGACAAATTGGGTTAAGCATTTCTTCTCGTTATTTTGTGAATTCTTAGAGAGAGAAAGAGAGAGAAGAGAGAGACCTTGAGAGTGGTGGGAGTTGCAGAGTAAGCTGAGCGAAGAGAATCGAAGAGGACAAGGGCGTCCTTGGTCGTTGACGATGTCGATGCTTTCCCCATTTTTCTCTTCCTCTATACTTCACTCTTCTTCTTCTTCGTCTGCTGCTTTCTTTCAGTATTAGATCGATCTAATACTTGACCACTCTGGTCGACCAGACCTAAATAGTTAAGGGTATTATAGTCATTTCGTAGAATTTTTTTATTTTTTTTTTCTCGCCGTTCTCATCGCTTGAGTGGCAGAAGCTTGAAGCTCTCTTGCTCCCTCTCCATCTCTCTTTGTCCCTCTCTCTCTACCTCTCTCTCCCCCTCTCTCTCGTCAGTAATTTTTAGGGCTGGGCATCTGGGGACTGCCCTCGCCGCCTCCTCTGGTCTCTGCGACTCTTTCAGTCGAATTCTCGACTTCACACGCCACCTCACAGACGCACAACATTGGCTTATCTCCGATCGCTGCAATCGGGTAATTTTTACCATTGGAATAGAGCTATTGAACTTTAAATGAAAAAGGGTGTATCTAATTGTTATATATATATATATATATATATATATATATAAAGATATATCTAATTTGAGTTTCATGTCAATGTCTGCTTCTATATGGCTGCACATGTAGACTGATATAAGAATAAGAATTATTGGGATTTGAGTACTTTTTGATTTCAAGCTTTCTGTTGAGTGATAAGTGCATCAGAGTCATACCTAGAAATTGTTACAACTTTCTATCCTCAATCCGAATATGTGTTTCTCAGCAGTTTGAATAAGAATGTTATTGCCCTTACTGTTATGGAATCTAAAAAATGAGTCGGTTGTATTTAGTTAGCTCAGTGATTAGATTGTTTAGGAGTGAAGAAGAAACATTTTCGGAAGAACTAGAAATGGGATGGCACAAGCAGTAGGTTGTTAATTAAGCCCTCTCAAGCTATGAGCATGGTATGGGACACAAGATACTGATACATTGAAATGGAAAAATGATAAAGAAGGCATGTCAGTACTCTAATACTACTAGGTTGCTTCAATATGGCTTCACATGTTATAACACTTTTAATGTGCAACTAACGTGAGATAAGTGCAGGATGATCTTCAACAAGTTAAAAACTTGAGCTATATTTAAGTGCTTCTGTTAATCTGCTTCTCTTGTAAATTTTCACTAAAATTCAGTTTTGTTTGCATAAATAGTATTGTTTGTCTTCCACACCAAGAAAGTTGATAAATTTTTAGTTGTCTTGCTGACCAAGAAAGCAAAAGATTGTCTTCTATATGCAATATATTCTGAGTAATTCTTCCTTTTTTGTTGCCTTCTTTATACTTTTTCATGAGTTTCTTATTCTTCAGTTAAAACCTTCTTTTTGAACTATCAGTCAAACTAATGCCAGATACAATTTGGTCTGTCAAGGAATTTATAAATTGAACTCGCTTACTGACTTTATCTTCTACTTCGCAACCAAAACAGGGGAGAGAATTCATCTAAAGAAATCTGCCCTAGTTGGATAGGAATTGCTTTCTTTTCAGTATCAGTTCAATCATGTTGGAAATCAGGAAAAAAAAGAAGAAGAAGATAGAAGGGATAGGGTGGGAATGTTAATCTTAAATTCTTATGCCTCAAAATGGTTTGGTGGTCTTTTCTTGTTCCTATATATTTATAACAATGCATGTTGACTCAATAGTTTGCTTAATTAATAGGAAAAATACGAAAAAAAGAAGAAAAGAAAAAGAAAAAAGCAACGAAAGTGACATCCAATGCAAAAGTTTCATGTCCAATTTTTGCACTTTGGTTGCCTGCAAACTGTGAATGAATGTTAAATGCGTGAGCTTGGCGATATGAACCTCACAACAATTTTTGCACTTTGGTTGTCTGCAGATTGTGAATGAATAGTTCTCTTGTAGCCTATATCCTCTTGCACTCTGCAGTGTGTGTTCTAATTCGCACGACATTACAACAACACATGCATGGGTGTGACTGCAGGCTCTGTGCTAAACCGTCTTCTTTGTGACAAAGGCCATCTAACCAAACCCTCAAATCCCACCACTGTCAAAGCCATCACCAGCACAATCCTCACTCACCTTGACTCTGGTCATCTCCCGAAAGCCGTTTCAATCCTCTCTGCATCTCCATTTCCCTTCCAATTTTCTCTCTACACCCGTCTCTTCCAGCTCTGTTCCTCCAACCGCGCCATTCTTGAGGTCCGAAAGGTTGAGTCGCATTTGGTCACCTTCTCACCCATCCCGCCCATTTTTCTACTGAATCGTGCCATTGAGGCTTATGCGAAATGTGGGTCTTTGGGAGATGCGAGGGAGCTGTTCGAGGAAATGCCTCAAAGAGATGGTGGGTCTTGGAATGCATTGATAACAGCGTACTCGCAAACTGGGAATCCTGAGGATGCCTTTGGCTTGTTCATAAAGATGAACAGGTCGGGTTTCTTGCCGAATGAGATTACATTTGCTAGTGTTCTTGGGTCGTGTGCTGCAGTTTTGGCGCTTTGGCTTTCGAGGCAAATTCATGCGGTTATTTTCAAGTATGGTTTCAATGGGAATGTGATTTTAGGGAGTTCACTTGTTGACATATATGGGAAATGTGGGGTTATGAGGGATGCCCGTGGAATATTTGATGAGATCCAGAATCCAAATGACATATCTTGGAATATAATTGTGAGGCGGTATCTTGAGATGGGTGAAGGAAAGGAGGCAATAATTATGTTTTTCCAGATGTTTGTGGCAGCTGTTAGGCCATTGAATTTCACCTTTTCTAGTGCTCTTGTTGCTTGTTCGAGTATTACTGCACTTGAAGAGGGAACGCAGATTCATGGAGCTGCAATTAAAATGGGTTTCGAAAATGATGAGGTTGTTTTGAGCTCCCTTATCGATATGTACGCCAAGTGTGGGGAACTAGAGAATGCGTGTGCAATTTTTGACCAGCCCAAGTCGAAAAATTTGATTTCTGGGACTTCAATTGTTTCAGGATATGCAATGAGTGGACAGACATGGAAGGCAAGAGAGTTCTTCAATGAAATGCCTGAACGGAATGTGGTAACTTGGAATGCAATGTTGGCTGGATACACTCATTATTTCCAGTGGGAAGAGGCTTTGAATTTTATATTCCTGATGGTGAACACAACAAAAAATATAGACCAAGTCACCCTTGGGTTAATCCTCAAGGTGTGTGCTGGCCTTTCGGATGTTGAAATGGGAAAACAGGTTCATGGATTCATTTACCGACATGGTTTCTGTTCCAATATCTTTGTTGGAAATGGCCTTCTTGACATGTATGGTAAATGTGGGAACTTGAAAAGTGCCAAAACAGTCTGGTTTCACCAAATTAGTCAATGCCGGGATAGAATTTCTTGGAATGCTTTGTTGAGTAGCTATGCTCGTCATGGCCGGAGTGAACTAGCTATGACAATATTTTGTGAGATGCAATTGGAGGAAACACCTGATGAGTATACGTTTGCAATTCTCCTGGCAGCTTGTGCAAATATTTTTGCACTTGAGCAAGGAAAACAAATTCATGGTTTCATGATCAGAAATGGTTATACAATGGATAGTGTGGTCAGAGGGGCATTAGTTGACATGTATTCCAAGTGTCGTTCTATTGAGTATGCTATCATGGTTTTCAAAGAGAGGGCTTCAAGAGATGTAATTCTGTGGAACTCCATGATTTTGGGATGCTGTCACAACTATAAGGGGAGAGAAGTACTTAAATGTTTTGGTTTGATGGAGGATGAAGGTATTAAGCCAGACCATGTAACATTTCGAGGTGTTTTACATGCTTGTACATATGAAGGTTTTGTTGAGTTAGGCAGGCAGTATTTTGATTCGATGACCAATGAGTACGGTATTATACCTAGGTTAGAGCACTATGAGTGCATGATTGAACTCTACAGCCAATGGGGGTACATGGATGAGCTTGAAGATTTTGTAAAGAATATGCCATTTGATCCTACAGTCCCAATGTTGACAAGAATCCTTGATGCTTGTAGAAGACATGGCTGCTTGAGATTGGGACAATGGGCTGCTCAAAGACTTAATGAGTAATCCTTCTAGTTCATAAGAGTTTCAGATTATGTACAGAGCCAGGCAGTGATTGCCAGCGTTGCAGTTTTGGAAGTGTAAACCACTACGTTGTCGTAAACGTTCTACATTGAATGAAATTTGTTTGACGTAATGGATGAAGGAGTACTCCAGAAAATTGAAGCAACAAAATTTGTTGGTCATGCGGAAATGATTATTTTTTCCACTCAACGTGTTCCTACATCCACAACGACAACAGCAGGTAATAAATGATGATGATAGCGATCGGGCGGACACCCTTTCCCCAACTCTGATGTGCCAATTTTCTGTGCTTGCAAGTTGGAAAGACACCGTTTTATTTGTCTTAGAAATCAGGGTTCAGGATACACTGTTTTCCTCTTATTGTTGTATATTCTTCTATTTAATTTTTCTACTTCAATAATTTTTTTAATATGATGCAGGAAGATGAAAAGGAGAATCGCAAAGGCTTTTCAAGCAGCCATATTCAAATAGTTTTCTTCAATTGAAGTACTGTTCTTTTATCTACCTGTTGAAAATATTTTACGATGAACATTTGTAAGGATACAAGTATAAACAACATTTGTTATGGGGTAAGCTGAAATGAACTCTTATTTCTGTTGCTTATTATTTCTGATGATTTATTAGGGAAGTTGCTTCCTCATATCCTCATAGGATTATGTAAAGCATGGAGAGTGACTGCTCATACTACATTTTTTTTTTTAAATCTCATCTCATTTTGTCTCTAATGATAGTGGTTCATCATAATTGTGGGTGATGAGATCGAGATTAAGCTACAATAGAAAGGATAGTTTCTTGATGCACGTCAGTTGACCATGGTTAAATTATAAAATGGGACTTATACTGCCACAAAAGAAATATTCCATTTCCGTTGAAAACTAGACTCAGCTTCATACACTCTTCTTGACTTGAGGTGCAGCAGAGAAGAGAAGCCATTACCAAGCAACCACAATGTTCAAAGGACCAACCAAGCAGATTTCCAGGTGATTATTTACAGTAGAGTTAATATTATTGATATGCCTTGTAATTATCTTCATAAAAGTGAGCTTCAATTCTATAAAATCAATATGTATATATATATTGTGCTTAGATGAAAGAAGTTAGAATTATGAATTTGAATTTGAATTTGAATTTGTACATGTGCATTGTATTAACCATAAAAAAGTTTAATATTTCTGAAATTACATTAAGCAGATGCATGTTAAGGGTAAGTGTTGATCAGTCCACAACAATCCTAGTGGATGTATATGTGCTCAAGGGTAAGGTTATTTTCTTCATGCATATTGTACTGACATGTTTTTCTAATATTCTAATTTGATCATATAGCTTTTTGAATCTTCTGCTATGTAGTGGAATCTTTCTCTTGCTAATGCTTGAAGGAAAATAATAAGAGTTTCTGCATTTTTGGTCTAACAGTGTGGCAGTCATCCTATACTATCTAAGGGTTGCTTATCTTGCTGCTTGAGCTTATTATATTATTCACAAAATAGATAGTTGTTCTCTTGCTTTTCCATATTCAAAATTATAAGCCAAAAATTCCTGCTCCAATTCCTTGATGATAAGCTCTCTTGCCCCTTTCTCAGATTGTCATAAGTAATTTTAATGTTACAAAAATTATCCAAAAAACGCATTCTGCTTCTTTGATAGTAATGCTTGAGTAGGATATGGTTTCAAATTTCTTCAACTGGAATTCCATTATGACAGTAGGTATGTGCTGATTATGCTTGTCTAGTCATACCCTGTAATGGTGAACCACTTTATCCACAACTAAGTGCTATTGTAATCAAACAGCAGACAAGTGATCCAAACAGGGGAAAAGAACTTTCAACAGATAAATTATATAAATAAGGAAAAGATAAGGTAATTAATCAGACCTAAAAAAGGAAAAGATAACACAATGACAACATGTGCAATTATAGTATTATACAAACAAGGAGAAGATGAAGTAAGAGAATAAGCCAAGAAAAGTACAGTATATGACAAAGGGGTCTCAGAGCTGTGGAAATCCAGGTTAGTGGTATGCAGTTCGATTCTCCACGGCACGTGTGTGAGAATACCTCCCTCCTCCCTTCTAATTGTGTAAAAAAAAGGTATTTTGAGGGCTTTTCAATCATTTGCCTTTTTTTTTTCCCCTTTAATTAACCAGCAAAGGTGGCGGGTCGGATTTTAAAGTCTTTGATCGAGAGAACGATTGATTTATAAATATACACACACACACTCCTAGAGACACAGAGCATGCAAACCATGGATTTCCTGCAGTGTACTTCCATATCATCAGCTGTTTCAACCTATTTGTTTTCCTTCCCTTTCTACATTATCATTGCATTGGCTACATCAATCGGTGCATATATTTTCATCCATTTACATGACCCTAAGAACTGGAAGGATTCTCCACCAGGACCTGTTGGATCGCCCATACTTGGGAGCCTTCCTCACCTCCTCAACAATCGCCTTCATGAGGACTTGTTTCATCTCTCTAGAATCCATGGCCCACTCTTTAGCCTGAAACTAGGTTTAAAGCTGGGGGTCGTGATATTGTCACCGAAGATGGCAAGGAAGACCCTTAAGCAGCAGGAGTATGTTTTCTCCAGTCATACCATCACGGAGGCCATCCGGGTCATTACATATTATACGGCCTCTGTTGTATATATGCTCCCATGGCTAGTGCACATTGGAGAGTAATTAGAAGAATCTTGATGGAACAGATCTTCTCTGCCAAGGCCTTTGAGGCTTTTGAACCAGTTCACAAAATGTTGATCAATATACAACATATGTAAAGGGAAAAATGAGCAGTCTTAATTCTTTGTTTCACTTGCTTGTAGGTTCATGGGTTGCTCAAGCAGCTCTACTTAAGCTTCGATGATGAAAAATTCAGTGAACATTGCAGAGTTGGGCTTCGTGGCCTCAGGCAACATTGTGAGTAACACAGTATGCAGTAAAAACCTTTTTGATAACACAAAAAACAAAGGGAGAGAACTAAAACATACATTCTGGGAGTTAATGCAAATTCTTGGCTCTGTAAATGTTACTGATCTCATCCCAGTATTTAAGCCATTTGATCCTCGAGGCCTTAAACAGAGAATATTGAAGATCTTTTGGAGATTATATGCGTTTTATGAAAACATTATCAAGGAGAGGTTGGAAGAAAGAAAAATCAGAATCGGCAATATTGGGAAGGAAAAATTGGACTTGTTAGATGTGTTATTGGATTATAGAAGTGACAGATATGATGAATTAAAAAGCTTATCGAGAAAGAACATTAAAGGCATGCTTGCGGTAAGTTATCTAGATATTAATCTCTGAACTTTGTACTTTCAGACTTTGTTTAAATATACTCTCAATGTTGAAAGAGATTCCAAGTTCGAATCTCCCATGCTGAAATTCTCAAAACATACGCAGAATATAACGTGTACATCAGTTCAACAAACAAACCAATTCAGTCCAATTGAAACTAAGAACAAGTTTTGATTTCATGTTTTTGCAGTAAATGTTTACAGGCACAGAGACTACATCAAGCACTTTTGAGTGGGGTATGGCAGAGATCCAAAGAAAACCTGATGCGTACAAGAAAATAGTTATGGAGTTGGACCAAGTAGTTGGGAAGGTTCGGTTTGTTGAAGAGAGTGACATTTCCAATCTACCCTACCTTCAAGCAGCAGTGAAAGAAGTTTTCTGGCTCCACCCTGCCGTCCCACTGCTCGTTCCTCATGGCACGAATGAGGTGTGTGAGATTTCCAGTTACCATATTCCTAAGGGCTGCATAGTGTTGGTGAATGTTTTGGGGATGGCTAGGGATCCCAGTGTTTGGGAGGACCCTTGTGAGTTTAAAACCGTAAGGTTTCTTGGGTCTAGCATTGATGTGAAAGGCCACGATTTTAACCTCATTCCTTTTGGGAGTGGGAAAAGATCTTGCATTGGATTGCCCCTTGTCCATCGCATGGGGCAGCCCTGCTTCATGCTTTTGAATGGGAATTCCCCGCTGACATTTTGGACATTGTAGAAGAGAGAATGGGGCTTGCAATTCAAAAGGGAAAGACTCTCATTGGCCTTCCTAAACCTAGATTGTCAGATTCTGCTTACCTCCACTGATCTCCTGTGCAAATATGTAAAAATTTGTAATATTGGTAAGATGGAGTATGTCTCTACAATACTTTATGCTAATGTAATTTAGAAATATACCATGAGTAATAATAATGCAATTAGTTTCACATGAACATAGACAAAATGCAAATGAGTTATCAGTTTCAGAGCTAATCACAATTACTGCCAATAAACAAAGACAAACACATAAAAGTTATGTAGTTACTGATGCCTATATAATAGCCAATAACATTTGAATGCAGACTTATAGCCAGCTGATTGTTGGAATATTTTGCTGGCCATCTCTACATGACCAAATTCAACTGAACTTAAAAGCTGGATGTTCAAATCAATTTGCTCTGCGTCTGAGAACAACAAGAAAAACAACTAACTTCGCTAACTCAACCATGGAGTGCTGCTCTTCAAGTTTTTTACGATACAAGTCAAAGTGCTCGTCCACGATTTCGTCTCTGAATTGCTGCTTGAAGAGGCCCTCCAGGCTAGCTCTGATTTGATATGCAAGTAGTTGAGGACTTTTATAGACAGTGTCATGTGCATAGAAATGATCCAATGTGTCCCCAAAGGCCTGTAAATATGGCCCAACCGGATGGGCTAGCCAAAACTCTACCCTACTTTTTGGACTATGAACTAGCCCAGGCCGGTTACCATGAGTGGACTTAGCTCAGCCCGTTGTGTAATAGGTAGAGCCTAGGCCACGATTTCTAGGCCGATGGGCACCCCAGCCCTGCCTGATGTATAAGTTAATAAATAAAATAATTACCCATTAAATATTAACATTGATTATCATTGCATTTAATATATTTGTAAAAATAAACTAGTATTAATGATCACTGCATTTAATTAATTATAATTTTTATTATTTTGAGAAAAAAATTATTTATGAAACATATCATTGTACAAAGCCACATAAGAACATCTCTAGTGCCCAAACACAACAACATGTTGATTTGATTCAGAGAGAATTACGCCTAAACCAACAACTACTCAACCCCCTAATTTAGCATCTCAAAGGACTTGTACTCCGACTTACAATACATCTCTATCGTGTAACAGCAGAAATGACATATTTGAATTGCAGTAAAAAAATATAATACAAAACACAGCAAACTCCTAAACAGTTCCTGAGAATAAAAATAAAAAGTACAGCAAACTCCTAACGAGTATAGTATTACTCTATTTGAATATATCTCACATAATTAAGTTAACCTCAAGATGTCAAAACCTCACCAGCTCTATAGCACTACTAACTTGTGGAATAGGGCCCAGTTTGGGATTGCTGTCACTTTTTTAAAAAGTTGCTTCTGCTGTGCTTTGAAAATAATTAGCTATAAAGTAAAGCAGCTCCATGTTTGGTAAATAATATTTTTAAAGTGTTGTTAGTCCAAAAAGCATAGTCAAAACTGTTTGGTAAATTTTTGTATAAAATTATTGTAATTGTAAATAAAGACTAAAATAGACATGATGTTAAAAGTGTTATGTACTAATCATGTGGTGGTAGTGGTAGTGATGGAGTGGAGGTAATGGTGGTGATGAAGGTGTAGTTGGTGGTTGTGGTAGTGGTGGTGGTGGGGATGGCGATTGTGGAGGTGGTGGTGGTGGTGGTGGTGGTGGTAGTGGTAGCATGGAGGTGGTTGTGGAGGTTTTGGAGGAGGAGGAGGTGGTTGTGGTGGTGGTGGAGGTGGTGGTTGTGATGGTATTGGCTGAGGATGAGGAGGAGAAGGATGTGGTGGTGGTGGTGGTGGAGGTGGAGATGGAGGTGGTATAGGAGGTGGTGGTTGTGATGGTATTGGCAGAGGATGAGGAGGAGAAGGATGTGGTAGTGGTGATGGTGGTGGAGGTAGTGAATGTAGTGGTGCAAGTGGTAGAGTTGGATGTGGAAGTGGAGGTGGTGTCATTTTTTAAAATGAATTATGGTATTTTGGGAATTATAAAAATTCATTAAAAGTTCATCTCTGCTTCTTTTGAAAGCAGCTTTGAAAAGCAACCCAGTGCCTGCTTTTAAAAGCTGTTGTCAAAATGCCACTGCTTTTAAAATAATTTGGATATTTTATTTTTACTAAAAACCTTAAACTGCTTAACTTTAAAGTAAAACAGTTTTTTGGCCAAAAAAAAAAAGCAATCCTAAACGGGGCCTAAGATATACAGGCTTGACACACATTAAGCCCGACTAGCTTTTTATATGCGCTTTATTGTCTTCTTATTATGTATGTTAGTTGGCATTAATTAAATAATCAACTTACTAATAATCCTTGAAAATATTTTATTCTATACTTAGTTTGATGTGGTACCAATTCCTTGAAATTTGCTCTCAATTTCAGGCTTGCTTTTCTCTGTATTTTTTGCTCCATCAGAAGCCCGTTATAATTTTATTTTTTTATATCCATTATTTCGCCAAGGAAAGGAAGTTTCAGTTTTGGCTCATACAAGATTATAAATATTCTGAAGATTTCTGGACTTTAAAATGCTAATTCCTATGTTTTCTGGTTAAATAAAGCAAAAAAGTGTCACCCTTTTTCTTTTGGTCGTGAAACTTCTTATATGACTCAAGGTACTACCTTCTTATTTTAATGCCCGAGGAAAAACATGCGCATGCGCTACAGCCTGTGTAGAGGAGTGATCTTCTTGCTTATCTTGTCGAATCATGCTAAATAATTATTTGTGTTGTTAAACTTTTGTACTTCAGAGTTAATATTCTGAATCTGAAGTGCTTCACACAGCTTCATCCTCTTGCTTGAGCTGTTCAACAAATTAGATAGATGTTCTGTTGCTTCTTCATATTCATAATTATACGCTAAAACTTTCTTAAGGCTTATAATTACGTAATCGACTGGTAATGCTTGAGTACGATATTTTATAATAGAGTTTCTAATTTCTTAAACTGGAATTCTATTATAAAAGTATGTGTTGCTTGTGCTTGTCTAGTCATGCTTAACGTTACACCACTATCTAGTGGCGAACCACTTTATGCACAACTAAAGTGCTATTGTAATGATACATAACAAGAAAAGCCAATAGATCTAGACAAACTAAGAAGGCAATTATACAAATAAGAGATAAGGTAAGAGAATGACAACTTTCAGTTATAGTATTATACAAACAGGGAATGATAAGGTAAGAGAAAATAAGCCAAGAAAACATAAGTACAAGGAGTGGAATGTGAAAGTGTGGACTCACTGTTCTCGCCGATTAGCCAAACTCACGTTTTTTTTTTCTCTTTAATTAACCAGAAAACGTGGCAATTGGGATTTAAAGTCTTCGATCCAGAGAACGATTGATTTATAAATACACACGAACACAGCAAGAGATACACAGAGCATGCAAACCATGGATTTCCTGCAGCTTACTTCCATATCATCAGCTTTTTCAACCTCCCCTCTCTACATTATCGTTGCATTGGCTACATCAATCGGTGCATATTTTATCATCCATTTCCAGGACTCTAAGAACTGGAAGGATTCTCCACCAGGACCTGTGGGATGGCCCGTACTAGGAAGCCTTCTTCACTTCCTCAACAATCGCCTTCATGAGGACTTGTTTCATCTGTCCAGAATCCATGGCCCGCTCTTTAGCCTGAAACTAGGTTTAAAGCCGGTTGTCGTGATATCGTCGCCGGAGATGGCATGTAAGACCCTCAAGCAGCAGGAGGCTGTTTTCTCCAGTCGCACCGTCACCGAGGCCATCCGAGTCATTACATATGATACCGCTTCCATTGTATATGCTCCCATGGATAGTGCACGATGGAGAGTAATTAGAAAAATATTAATGGAAAAGCTCTTCTCTGCCAAGGCCTTTGAGGCTTTTGAACCACTTCGCAAGCGACAGGTTTGTTGATTTCTTACATGCATATATAGAACATCATAATGCTATTATTTTAATTAACCTAAAATTACATATGTGCACGTAAAGAAAATGTTGATAAAAAGATGTTTATGTAAAGAGAAATATGAACAGTCTTAATTGTTTCATTTGTTCGTTAGGTTCATGGGTTGCTCAAGGAGCTCTACTCAACTTCACTGTCCAGGAATTCGGTTAACATTGCAGAGTGGGCCTTCGTGGCCTCAGGCAACATTGTAAGCAACACAGTATGCGGTAGGAACCTTTTTGAGAACACAAAAAAGGAAGGGAGAGAGCTAAAACATACATTCTGGCAGTTAATGCAAATTCTTGGCTCTGTAAACGTTGCTGATCTCATCCCAGTATTCAAGCCATTTGATCCTCAAGGCCTGAAACGGAGAATATTGAAAATCTTTTGGAGATTAGATGCGTTTTATGAAAATATCATCAAGGAGAGGTTGGAAGAAAGAAAAATCGGAATCGGCAATATTGGGAAGGAAAATTTGGACTTGTTAGATGTGTTATTGGATTATAGAAGTGACAGAGATGATGAATTAAAAAGCTTATCCAGAAAGAACATCAAGGCCATGCTTGCGGTAAGTTATCTAGACATTAATATCTAAACTTTGTACTTTCACACTTCCGTTAAATATACTTTCAATGTTGGAAGAGATTCCAAGTTCGAATCCCCCATACAGTAAAATTCTCAAAACAAACATGTATATCAGTTCAACAAGCAAACCATAATTGAGTCCAATTAAACCTAAGACCAACGTTTTTATTTTGGGTTTTTTGCAGGAAATGTTTGTCGCAGGCACAGAGACTACCTCAAGCACTTTTGAGTGGGGGATGACAGAGATCCTAAGAAAACCTGATGCATACAAGAAAATAGTTATGGAGTTGGACCAAGTGGTTGGGAAGGATCGGTTTGTTAAAGAGAGTGACATCTCCAATCTACCCTACCTTCAAGCAGCAGTAAAAGAAGTTTTCCGGCTCCACCCTGCAGTCCCACTGCTCGTTCCTCGTAGCACGAATGAGGCGTGTGAGGTTTCCGGTTACCATATTCCTAAGGGCTGTATTGTGTTGGTGAATGTTTGGGGGATGGCTAGGGATCCCAGTGTTTGGGAAGACCCTTGTGAGTTTAAACCCGAAAGGTTTCTTGGGTCAAGCATTGATGTGAAAGGCCATGATTTTAACCTCATTCCTTTTGGGAGTGGGAAAAGGTCTTGCATCGGATTGCCCCTTGGCCATCGCATGGTGCACTT